GCTGTGAGCTGGCCGAGAGCCAAAAATGGGGATCCCCAAAGCCCACGTGTCTGCCTTTTATATCCACCTGGCTGCTTAACCCCACCCTCAGGTCCCAGCCACCTTCCCTTTGGTGGGGATGGGATTTGGAGTTCCCAGTGTCTTTGGCTTTGACCTGGGGTGGGGGTGGAGTCCACAAAGCCTGTATGAAATTAGCTTTGGGACATCCTTTTCCCCCTAACAGTCTTACTGGAAGGATGTAGTGGAAATGACATTTCAATGTCTGGTACATAGTAGGTAGTTCATAAAGGCTGAGTGAATGCCACAGTAAAACACCATGTTACAAACACTAAGATGGATCTTTAATATCAAGGGCAACTTTGGCTGTAAATTATTTGGAGCCAGGTGTTTTACGACAGTGGGTTGTGTTATTTCTACCATGGAGTAGAATTGGGTGTCAATGGAAAAATAAGTCAGTTCAACTGCTTTTGGCATTAAGTCCTCCAAAGTTCTGGACAGGCTCTTACTGCAATGCTGCCAGTCTTGATAAGAGGTGAGTGGCTTGCCCAAAGCTATCTGCCCACCAGGAGGGAACTAGAACCCAATCCAGAGTTCTTTCCTCTTTATTATGGATCCTTTCCTACTGCTTTTTCCCTTTGCACTTCAGGGCCATTAAGTATGGTTAGGATTGCTCACTAATCTCTCTCTTTTTTTTAAGGTTTATTTATTTATGCATATAAGAACTGGGTTACAGGCCAGAGGTGTGGGGGCAGGGACGCTGAGGATTCACCAGAGACAGAGTGGGGGGCAGAACAGGCCCATTGACTGAAATACACTGCTGAGGGGAGCAGCGGGCGAGACAGGAGAGGTCTGCTGCGTCACGTGGGTAGCTCCCTGACCAGGGATCGAACTCATGCTGCAGAGGCTGAGGATTGCTTCATGGTGCTGAGTCTTAACCCCTTGTGCCACCAGGGAGGCCTGCACTAATCTCTTTTATGAAGGGGTTAGGCAAACTCAGGAGAGTTTCCACTGGTTGTGCAAGACCAACCGTGGGACACATCGGATGTGTGTGGAAACCTATCATGTGATGCTCTATTTCTTGTCATGACCCTGGCGCTGAAATGGTCATGCTGAAAAAGCACCTTTCATTAATGGTAATAGTTCTATTGGGATGTAATTTAGTTTTCTGTAGTTGAGATTAGGTTTTATTCCATACACAAGGCCTTTCTTCTCTTTCACTGCTCTTAAGGCGTAAAAGTCCTGTTCCTAACTTACTTTACTGCATTTGGTGAGACCTAATTATCCCTTCTTTGGTTTAGCAAACCTGAGTATACAAAATATCAATTAGGTTAGTCACGCAGCTTGAATTACTTTTAGCCTCAAAGGAGTGATGAAATATAGATACCAGTTAAACAACTGAAGACTTCAATTCTTTGTTTTCTTGCCTTTGAAATAATCACGTTTGCTCACACTCCTTTTATAGAGTCAAAAATCAGGACAGGGCCTCACCTGGTGGCACAGTGGTTGAGCGCTGGGCTGCAAAGCTGCCCGCGGCCTCTGCAGCACCGGTTTGATCCCCAGCCGCCGGCGAGGATCCCACACAGCGCGCAGACCTCTCCTGCCGTAACTGCTGCTCCCCTCAGCAGTGTATTTCTTCGTCAGTCTGCCTGTTCTGTTCCCCGCTCTGGCTCTGGTGAATTCTCTCACCCTCCTGTGCTTCTGACTGTACTCAGTGCTTGTATAAATTAAATCAATCAATCAATCAATCAATCAATCAATCAATCAGGACGATAGGAAAATGGCATGCTGTTCTCACTTCCCTGTCCTGGCAGTCAATTTTAGCGCTATGTTGTAAGATGCTGCCAGCCAGAGAACACTGTCCAGATAGTATGCAGAAGATAATGTGTAGGTTGGAAGGATTCAAGTGAAATTTTTACTCTGCATAAGGGATATGGATGCCTGCCTCCCCTGGTGCCCTCGCACAACCAGGACTAGTTTGTTTCAACATATTTTTGAGTGAAAAGATTCAATTAATCCAACTTTTCCTATGAAAAAAATTATAGGCAAGACTATGGGGGAAGAGTGGAGAAACCCAGATGTGCAAACTCTGAAACCCACAGCTGTGCTTTCACATCTTGAAATAAATGTTTCCAAGAATGGAGGTTTCTGTTTTCATATTTAAATCACGAACTTACTATCTTTATTTTCAAAGTTAGAATCCTGGTTTAGGATACTTGAATCTCATTTCTGATATAAGACTTAAGAGAAATTCTTCTCTATACTTCTCATCCAATAAGATGGTGAAAGGAAAATGGATTGAGCAGCAAAAATATTTATATGAATGTTCTGAAGCCAATTAACTGACCACATTCTACTCGACTTACATGACAAAAAATCACGTGGGAGTTTTAGAAGTGGGATTTAATTCAGTATTAACACTAGGTCATATTTAATTTCTTTAAAATGAAATTAATCTAGACCAAAAATATGTAGCCAGTAGGAAAAGCAGCGTTTTGGCCAAAATGCATCAATAATACTAACAATAAATGACAAGGTTGGTAGGATTTTCAGGGTCCAATCATTAAGTTGTTTTAATCTGATGGTTTTCTATAGTGGCAGACATGACATGGGAAGAAATATATGACCCATAAAACAGCAGTACCTCCTAGTGAACTGGTAGATTGCAAAGTTGCTTTAATTTTTATTAGGCTATCAACTATTTGGAAAGTATCCAAAAAGTAAAGACTTCCTTTTTCACCCTCTCTTCCCCCCATAGTTTCTAAGGAAGTTTCTGATTTTTTACATGTATATTTTCATGTAACACAGTACCAGCAAATTTCAAGTTTAGTCTATTTGATCAAAACTGGGGTCATAAGAAAGTTAAATGAGAGAGATTATTGCCCATGAAGACTGAGGACTCATTTAATTACCTGTCAGGAAGTGGCGAAATGATAAACAGGCATCACACCCAACTCAAGTTGAATGATCACCTGCTGAAGTGACAGCTCTGAATGCCTGACATTCCCACAACTTTTCGTTTAGCCAAGGTCAGTCAAGGTCATCTGGGGTGGCTGATGGTGCTCCCAGCAATAAAAACTGAAATCCAATTTCTCACTTGCCCCATCTGAATCATCCAGACTTTCTGCCTGAGGATTGGATGCTTCTAAGCTGGGACATTTAAGCTCAATTTCCTTTTTGAGTTGGTTGCTGAGAAGCGAGGGCCAAATTTGTAGGTCACTTCTTAACATGCATTTTTATGTACAAAGCTCACTGCTGGTTAATATTGTTTTCTTCTTCCTTTCCCCTTTACTTAGATCTTCTTAGTCTACATACATTTTATACTGAACACATTTGCTTACGGTTCTGTAAGTCCTTTTAAAGATTTTCTGGGACAGGACAAAGCATAAACAAACTAGAAAAATTTTATAATCAGAATAAAGTATGTTTTCTATACATCAAAGGCTGATCAGGTCAAAATGTCAGAGATTTAAGAGATGGTAACATTTCTTAGCAATTCACATCCTCTCCAGGACAGAATTCAATGTATAGAAAGTGTGTTAACTTAAAAGTAAATCAAATAAGGATTCAAATTGCCCCAAATGAATGTTTTCCAGTAGCTTTTGGAATTTCAAAATGGTTCTTTAAAAGGAATCATTCAGGTTTCAAAAAGTCTTACTGGAAGGTGCTGGGTCACGCACATTATAGCATACAGGTTAACCAGAGGTGGGAGCTTTATTTCACAAGTTTCAAGATACAGTACAAAACGAATCTGTACATCTCTCTATTAACAGGATTTGTTTACACAATTATATTACACTTCACCAGCCTTCATATTGTATTTAATTAAATACAAAATAAATGTACAAAAAAGTCTGTCATGGAATGGTGTTCCTTCAAATGCCAGCTTATGGTCTTTTAAAACTTCTCACAAATATTGATAGTGGTTATACTTGATCGTACCAATAGAGATATTTTGTCAAAGGGAATAGTGTCAGCCTGTCATTCCAAATGGGAAAAAATGGTGCATGTGAGATGATTTTTTGCACATAAAAAAGGTGTCCTTCTCGGGCCCAGGGAATCAGATTTTCACTTGTGCAAATTGTCACTTTAAAATACATATCATTTTTACTTGGGATTCCTTTAAGTTTTCTTCAAATACCAAGCAGAAGTTTAGTTTCTTTGCCAGAACTACTGCACATGTAAAAATCAGATCATGCACCAGTGTGGCATTCAGAAATTTTATATTTTCAGTTATATTTGAGAATAATGACTGATGAAAAATATTTTCATGAAAGTATAAAATTCTTTTGCTTTATTTCTTAAGTACTTCTAGTCATAACATTGTGTAACATGTATTATAATCTCAAAACAAATACCAACCGTCACGTTGAGCCCACGTTGCTCTTTGTGACAGGTAAATGGGCTGTGGCAGATGCTAAGCATTTTGTTTTGAAATGTGCATGTGAAATGTTCAGTCCAAACCTCTGTAAAGGAAGTTTTTTGCAGCTGTAGCTAGACAATGATACACATGCTACACACATGAAGAGTTGTGGTCTTCATTTATAGGCTTGCATGCATACTTCCAGAACACTGGTTTTAAGAACATGTGAAGCAAAGAAAGAAGGGAAAAATATCAAAATAACAAAAAAAAAATCCTATACAAAATACTTAAGTTTCCTGGGGGCAACAGCAGCCCCTTAATTAAATAAAGCATCAGATCACTGCCAGATCACAGGTAGAAGTTTCTAAAACTTCCCAACGGTACAGAAATAAAATAGCTTAGCAGTGAAACTCTTACAAATTAACCTTATAAGCAGAAGGGTAACCAGTCCTCAAGAGTATTAAGATTACTGATTCACAAGTTAATCTCATTTAAGTGCCAAGTAATGAATTTTGAAAAAAAAGGCTTGTATTTCTTCTGTGCCACTGAAGAATAACCAAAAATGAGAGAAGCCTTACTCAGAAAATAGAAACTAGAAACAAGAACTTCAAACACACACCCACTCACACAAAATGCCCCACGCAGCACTGCTATCTTCATAACACAAAATAGAAGCAAAATGGAGAGTCTCAAGGCTCAAAGAGTTGATTAATTAACAAATCAAGTGCACAAGTGAGTATAAGCTAAGCGGAGCACTACTGTCATCACCATCGAGGCTGGAAGACGGACTGTAACAGGGATCAGGAGAGACAGGCTACCATGGCGAAACGAAGCCACTTTCTATTTAACTCTAAATTCTAACATTAAAACTCCTGAATCCTGGAGTTAGTTTAATGTCACTGACATTAACTAGCTTTAGTTACTGTCATTTTATTCAAATGGATGCCATTTGATTAGGTTAAGTATTGAACATTATTTTAGGAGAAACACCAAACCAAATTCCTATTTGCTTAGGTATCTTGTCCTAGGAACGAAAAGAAAAAAAAGGAGCAGGATATTTTGAGATGGTCTTTTCACAAAACCATAGGAACTAAATTATTTTAAATATACCATTCAGATTTCCAGAAGCAAGTGACCCAGGTTAAAAGAGGGGGTGGGAAAAAAAGAAAAGGGCATATGGACTGTTAATAATGAAAAGTTTATGACAAGTGGCAAACAGGAAGGTCGTTATTGCATGAAGAACACGACTATCTTTAAGGTAGTGCACAGTTTTAAGAATTTTTTTTTTGAGGAAGAAGTTAAGATAGAGGTAAAAATGCTGCTAAAGGAGAAACTGAGGAATGATAGAAGGAGGAAATGGAAGTTTAGTCATCTTAGGGGGTTTTCAAACTTTTAAATAAATTAAAATGGTTCCTTTGAAATGAAGTGCGGCTGCTACTGTGGACTGTATTTGTTTTGAAGGGTTGGGAGAAGAGGCAGTGATGAAGACACCCACAAACTGTACCAACTTCACTGAGTCTCTAAGGGGAAGAGATCAAACAGATCTTAATATTTACAAGAGCTGCCTAAAGTGACATCGCATTTTGGGGAGAAAAATGTCCTACCTTTCAGGTGCTTTTATCTGTGTGGTTCTTTTCGTGACCACCTCTTTCAATTTGGAAGCAACTATCTGGGAGGAAAGTTTGCTTACCCCGTTTCTCATAATACTGTGAACACTAAACAAAGTCTACAACTTCACATTTAAAGCCTTCATGTTAAATTATAAACTAAATCTAGTCCTAAAGCACAGTCCTAACTTCAAAAACCAAAGTCTTACAACTCTACAGGTAATAAACTTTTCAAGTTTTCTGGCAGATGAGTGACTATGGGGGGGGGGGGAAGGTATAAAGGTTACTAGAAACAGACTGAGGTCGGCAGGCATAAAAAGTCTGCTCAGATACCAATATAGGCAGGGGAAAACTACCTCCTGCAGATAAAAAGAACTACAAATTCTGTTTAAGTTTTCATTTGTATGGTATATGAAATCCTCAGGTGTCTTTGTTGTTGTTTTCCAAACAAGTCTGAAGTACAATAGCCCTGATTTTCCCAATGCTGAAAGTGTATGATGGATATAATAACTAAACAGGCAGTTACCTTTCTACTGTAATAGAAAACTGCAGATACAAAAATCTACCTGAAAATACAGAACAGCATAAACAGGCTTCGGCTTTCCTCAACCACTAAGTTTAATACATCTTTTATTCTCTGTGTTTTAATATTATAATGGTAATTACTGTATGCTGGATAATGGCCATGGTATTTCATAAATATAGAAATTCAGGAGGGTGATCTGTTCTTTTGCAAGAAGAAATGCAAAGGAAAATAAATCCCTGGAATAAATACTTCAACTTTGGGAAAGTAGGACTATGATCGTGGTATCCCATCCAGAGTTCTTTAGTGCTGTTTTCTAGTATCTTCTATGCAGTCCATCCTCTGGCTTCTGGATCAAGGTTCTGAATACTCAAAACAAACAAGCACATTACAGTGAGTAGGTGGGGCAAATTCACATGTTAGCTCAAGGAGTCAGTTCAGACTTATAGAGATTCCATACCAAAGTAGTGAAGTTCACATAAAACCCTTTGACAAGGCCTTTCAGTCTTTGAAGGAGAGAAGTTTGGTATAAAGTGTGACAATCACCAATGATAAGAAAACTCCCAACCTTCCCTGTTAAAACAACAAGTATGCTGAATGTGTATATCTGCACGTGGACTGGTAAAAGCTTCTTAGTTATTGCAGTTCTGAAACACTTTGAAGACTCTCTTTTTTTAACTCAAAAGGCAAGCTCTGTTTTCAGACTTTCAAACATGTTAAGCTTAAACTTAGAACTAACTGCATTTTCCTTTTCACACTGATCAGTTTTTAGTGTTGATGCAAAAGACCTTAAAATGCTGACAGAAGAATGTACACACACTGAGAATGAGCAAGGGTTGAGAGCATGACTGAAGAACCCAAGAAAGACAGCTGGATACAGCAGACATTACTTTGAGTGTCTCACATGTTTCCAGACCAAAAAAATAAAAAAAGGAAAGTCATTGAGAGTTGTTATTCCATTCAGCACGGAAACAAACATTCAACTCAGTTTAGGTAAGAGTTACGTATCCCTGAAAATAAAGGCATCAGATTCTAAGCAGCTTTAGGAATTCAACGCTTCCTTGTGCCTCTTCCAGGAGGTGGCCACTGATCCAAAGTCCTAAATCAAATGCAAATGTTTTCAGCAAACAATTTCCTGGGCTGTCACTGATCAAGGCTGGACACGGTGGCTGTTACTGTGGTGGCTGCTGCTCTGGCGGCCCTTCCTGCTGTGGTGGCGCTGGCCGTGGGCCTGGAGGCCTGGGTACAGGCATGTCTTGGTGCTGCCTCTGCCTGTAAGCTATGACTGTTCCCAGCAGCAACGCGATGATGGTCATGAGGTAAAGGTCCCATTCAGGTCCCAAAAGCTGGTCCATATCAAGTTGGGTGAACAAATCTCGAATCTTAGTGAGAAGAATATGAAAATCATTATGATGACTAAAATACTATAGAAGGAACTAAAAAATCACATGGCCAGTTAGAGAAATATACAGAACTTACTGAAATCATTGGATTTAGAAACATTCTGCAATGTGTTTTTAAAATGGTTTTAAAAGTTTGCAGCTGAAACAACGTGTCTTAGGAACTGAGTTATTTTAACAACTGACTATATAAAGTATCTAGCAGAGTTCTTTTCTGTCAGTAATCTAACACGTTAATTTTCAACCATTTTTCACAGAAAATAACTGAAAGGAACAGCGGGTACAATGGAGGAACGGAGGGAGTGTGTCTCGGCACACCCACCAGCTCTCTGCAGCGACGAAACACGAGGGTGCACTCTGCGAACTGTATTAGTGACAGCTGGGCTCTGTTACTGTTTCTCTCATCTATTTGAAGATGGCAGGAGTTCACATGCTTAATAGCTGAATGAATAATGCCTTTTTCATTAGGAATGAACTGAAAACCAAGATATTTAACAGTTGAAGTTTAGCTTAAAAGTTAGGTTTTTCTGTATTGATATTTTCATTGTTTTAAGTGCTACTTGAATTATTCCTAGTGTTTTCTGAATTCTACTCACCCACAAAGCGAGTAAACATGGGGCACAGTCCTTTATGTTACAATAAAAACACATTTAAATGGTTTCCATCATATATACTTGTAAGTATAGGTGCTAAATTTTTATGAAAAAAAAAAATTGTAAGAAACCATGTTCTCTGGCAGGGACCTATAATGGGAGATTCTGTGTGGTTTATTTTTTTAAGTTGGAATATCTAGGGGTAGGATTATGGGGTATTTTATTATCTTCTTTATATTTCTGTACTAAAAAAATAGCAAATACAATACACTTGGTATGGTACCTTGTATGGCCATAACTCAACAGCACTCAACAGTTTATCAGTGATAAAACCCGTGAGACAAGACCTGAAATAATCCTGAGAATGGAAGAATAGGCTGCCACACTGTTAGCTTTTTAATCAAATGCTGTGCCATTTAATCTATTATAAGTAACCAGATACTATAAACAAAATGCAAAACTAGAGAACCTGAAAGCACCTTCTGGCAACTCAGTGGGTCATGTTGAAGAGAATGGGTAACTCTTCTCCTATTTACGGTCCACCATGAGCTTATTTAAAGATCTTTTTCAAAAACAAAATACTGGTGGTATTTTACTTATGTCTCACTGTCAGAAGAAAATGAAGTCCTAGACACTGGGCAGGGGTTCTCCCTCTCCACCCACCCCTTCTTCTCTTTTTCAGGAATTGGCCTGAGTTGTTGCTAGGCAGTCATCTGATTAAAGGATCGCTGAATTTAGTCGACGACTGTTTCACATCTCCAAGCTTTAGTCTCAGTTTTCCCTAAACCAGAAAACATCTGCATCAATGAAAAATGCTTTAGCAGTCAGGACCACTGTCAAAAACTATCTGAACACTGTAACTGCTTTGTGGCCACTCCCACCCCTCACCCTTCACCTGGTAGAGGAAGGGTAAAGACTGACACTTTGAGGACACCCCTCTCCTCTTCCCCCAATTTTTTAAATACAAACCTCCAGATTGAGAAGGTTACATTGTTTGCATTTTAATTTAAAAAAGCATCGCCCACTTACATTTGTTTCCCGTATGTATTGTAAGAAATACACGACGCCTAATTTGCAGAGCGCTAGGAAGACTGGTACTTGTGCATCTGGGCTGGCTTCGGCAGCCATGTCATAAAAACGCTTTGCCAGGTGAATATCCTATAATGCAGGTAATAAACCAAAATTAATTTCTTGTTAAAGTAGGGAAAAATAAGTACTATTTACTTTATATAATAGAAAATTTTACTTTGCCTTTGAAGTTTTCATTTAAAATTTCCTCTTACTTAAAGAAAAAACCCAAGCCTTAATTGGGTAAAATTTATCTAACTGCTTAACTTTGAAAAATTTAACTACAAAATTTTAAGATTTAGCTCAGGTTCCCAAGAGGGGAGGGAAGTATAAGATCAACTGATTTATGCATAGAACTGGGGTGCAGGCCAGAGGTGCGGGGGGTGAGAGGATTCACCAGAGACAGAGTGGGGAATAGAACAGGCGGATCTACTGAAATACACTGCTGAGGGGAGCAGCAGGCGAGACAGGAGAGGTCTGCTGCACCATGTGGGCTGCTCTCTGGCCAGCCAGGGATTAAACTCATGCTATAGCTGGCAGTAGCTTGATAGCATTGTCTTTAACCCCTGTGCCACAAGGGAGACCCCCAATAAATCAATCTTTTTAAAAAAAGAGGATACAGTTTTTCTTTCAGGACACATAGCAGACTTAAGACTATGGTGCTAAAGAATGTTAGACTTCATTAGGAAGACACAGCATAAGAAACAAGCTCATCATAGCAAACATCTTAATTTCAAAATAATTTAGGAACAGAATTTGGCAGAAAGTGAACAGTTCCTCAAATGAGGAGCTATCAACAGCGTAGCAAACGCCTTTCCACTTTTACAAATCTTTGTTTCGATATCTTAGATATAACAGTGTAGATATCAGTAAGTGTGTGTACTGGCAGATGAGAGAGGTGCAAGGGCAGTCTTGAAATAATATAAAACTGTCTCATAACTTACTACCTAAAATCTGAGCACATTACAAAGAAAGCCCATTTTCGAGAAAAATGCAAATATTTGCTCAAATCACAATTATATTACTCGAACAGTTAAAATCACACTTACCTGTTTAATGCCTAGTCCTTTCTCATGCATATACCCCAGATTAAACATGGCTTGTGCACTGTGCTGCTGCTCAGATGCCAGACGATAATGAATGAACGCCGTCTCATAATCTACGTCAGTGCCAAATCCATAGAAGTGGTAGTCTCCAAGCTTAATTCTAGCCACAGTATAGCCTTTAACAAAAATTAAATGCAGAACTGCCGATAAACAGTGTGTTTAAAACAGACCAAACTGCTATTTTCTATTAACATTATTTACATAAAACAAAGCATTATACCAAAATACACAAACTTTATACAAATTCTTCAGCTAAACTACAAATTCAGCAAAAATTTAAAATGGAAGCAGAGCTCTTCTGAAGGCTTTGAACAGTCAGGAAGAGGTAAAACAAGGTGGGGGGTACCACCTATTCCACTAATATACTCTTCAAATGCTCTAGTCTATCTTTACATTTACATTTTAGGATAGTTCAGCTTGACCACTGACACAGGCTTGGAGAAGTGTTCTACAATTAGGCAGGAGCATGTAGAGGGAAAAACTCAAGTGAAAAAGAGCAGGAAAAGGTGAGAGTCTCAGGCTTTAGGCTGATATTCTAGTATACACTCTACTCAATTCAAATCACTGGTCTCAAATTGAAAACCAGAGCAAACTACAGCATGATAAAAATGCCCGATACTAAGATTTTGCAATTTAATTTAGAAAGCTTGGGTCTGTAATGCTCATTTGAAGAGTAAATACCAATCATTAGGCAAATGAGTAGAGTAACAATTAAAATTTCTGCTTAATTTTAAGGTGATGAGTGACATGATTCAGTCGGTAAAAGATTTTTAGAAAAGCAGTAAAGGAAAGTCTCTGGTTGAGACCCAGAATTAACGAGTGAATCACCTTGAGAGGCAGCCCTGTTCCAGTGTAGCAGAGCTCTGGGGTAAGTTTCGTTCTCACCTACAATGGTTGCTTCTCCTACAGACAAAAGACAAAATGATTTAAAGAAAGACACTCATTTTTTAGGCTTTCTTTTACAAAGTAGAATGTAAATGTGGGGCATAATTTAACAAGAATTGGGATATACCAATTATGAAATGAAGTATGTAAATGAAGTGCTGAGTTCAAAGGAACCACTACTTTCAGGACATTACTTCCTGAACCATGCTGTATCTGAAGACCTGATAATGAAACCACTTTACTAAGTCATTTCTAGGAATTTACATATCTCTGATGTGTTACTGTATCTGCTGTATTTTGAAAAAAAAATATTAAAAGCAGTTAATCTTAAAAAGAACATAAAATCTGTTTCTACTGTCTAATTATGCAATTAACTTTGGATCTCTGGCTTAGAGAGATCTGAGGTTAAATAATTTAGGTTAATGCTCTATTAAGTTCTGCTTATAGCCAAAGAAATTTCTTTGTGGTTTTTCTTTTTATTGGTTTACTTATTGTGAACACCTGTGTTCTAAACCAAAGGCTGGACTGAAAGGAAGCTCACTCTGATCGAGAATGAAGGCTGCATTGCTCTGTGCCACTTCATAGCCTTGCTCGGCCAGCAGGAGGTACTGGATGACGGCGGCATTGTAGTCGCCATCTTTATAGCTGTTATAGGCAGTCATAAGCCTCTCTGACCAACGGCCTCGTTCACATACATTCTTAAACAACTGTGAGAACAGAAAAGAAACTCAGTTAAAAATTAAGAAAGATATGCTAGAAAATAATTTTTGCACTTTGACTACAAGTGATTAAACTTTCTGAATCTATGGCAGTTTTACTAAATGCAGGTAAAAGTTTGGAATATTTATTTGAAGCATTCACTTAGTCTTTAATACAGGTTTATAAAAGTAACAGTAATTATATACCATTTACTATGACCAGACATGACTCCTCTGATTATTGGATATTATGGACATTTATTCACTTAATTATACCATAAGGAACCACCCTATGAGGTTAAGTCCTATTAAGAGCTCCATTTTATAAGTGAAGCATAGAGAGATTTAGAAATCTGGTAGGCATTTATCATGCCACTGCAAAGTATCAGTTATGACAGAGCAAAAGAGGAAATGTTCCAATTAGGAAGTATTATCATTCCCCATTGCAACACACACTTTTTTTCAAACTATGTCTCAGATACTGCTTTAGGTGCTACAGAGATTATAGTATCTGCTCTTACAAATACTGATTATAGAAAGCAAAAACAAAGGAAATAAGCATGACACTAACACACAGATCCTCAGTCTTTCCTCAGTATAGCAAGGCTAGCAGGCTGAGTCTGTTTCTACACTAGAAGAAATCGTGCAAAGAAAACTAGAATTAAAAGGGTAGACTTTCCTACTGGGGAAATCAATTTTCTGTACGCAAGTTGGCAGGAAAGCCTTACCTCCACAGCAGTGTGACATGAGCGCATCACACCTGTGCCACTGGCATGCATCTGTGCTAGGTTGTAGAAAGCCAAGATATGGCCTCCCTGAGAAGCTAAGTTAAAATATTTCAAGGCCTGTTTATAATCTCTTTTGACTCCAATGCCATCTGTAAGGAAAATTACATAAAAGGTCAGTAATAGTCTTAAATAAGATTTAATTGAAGCCTCAAAGAAGCCTTATATAGGAGGAGGAACACTAAATGAAATTTAGAATTCTTACTCAGCAAAAATGTGAACTTAATTAATACAGATTCATAAATTAATATAGACTAATATAATTTATAATTAAAAAACAAGATACACAAATCATTAAATGAGCCAGAATTCAGTAGCTCCCTGCAGGGAACATGGAGCAACTCAGGCTCTTTCTTGTCTTCCACTCTGCAGCCACCACCTATGGCTTTGTTTTCCTCCCAGGTTTCATTATCTACATGAGACACTGCGTTATTGTAAGAAAGCGTTTAGAAGCAGGAACACAGGGCACCTATAAGTACAGACACCCAGGCCAAGAAGTCGGAGATCATGGGGACTAGGAGGCACAGTTGCTGTCTGCCTGGCTCCCTGCTTGCTGGTCTGTCTGTGTATTCAGTGCCCTACTTCAGCATTAAAGGCATGTCAGATATACCTAAGGCTTCGAGATTCTTTTTTCATTCACCCAAATCAACAGCGAACCTGCCTGGCATGGGACGGTTACATAACACTCCTACTTCCCTATAACAGTGGCAAAGAACTAGCTGGCAGAAAACAGGTAAATGTAGATCATGGTATATTCACCGACGCCAGTGTTACTTACTATAGTACATAGAGCCAAGCTGTAGCTGCCCATCCACCCAGCCTTGTTCAGCAGCTTTCTGGAAATATTTCAGTGCCAGATCGTAATTCTGTAGAAGAGGCGATCACATGATGAGAAAACTCAAATAGTTGATATACGCAGAAGCCAGGGGAGTCATTCATCAGGAAAAATTAACAAAGCACACAAAAAATATTCTCAAAGAATCATTAAAAGGGCAGCCTTCTCTTTTTTTTAATAATATACTTTAAGTAATAAAGGGGTAGATATTTAATACCATGAAGAAAAGCAAAGAGAATTTTTCACTCTCAAAAAGCATAAATCACACTAGTAGAACACCAGGCCAGGAATTCAGAAGCAGTTGTATCTTCTCTACTAACCAATTAATCCTCCATTAAGCCTCATTTTTTTCCTGATATCAAATAAGGAAAACACTTCTCTCCTTATTTGTCTCTTCCCTGGAGAGATAATGTTTATAAAACATGAAATGATCATTAGATTTCATATATCATAACTATGCATGAGAAAATTAAAATCAAGATCACTACTAGATTTTAGTATCCAAAAATGACTAGACGGAAGCAAGGGAATACTTACAGATTAGAATCCTAAACCTAGCTCTCAGTTTCAGGCTCAAATTAAAAGAACCACAGTGCTTGGAGAAATTAAATAAAGAGAAGAGGATACCAATGAAAACCCATGAAGATGCAGCAGAGGAGAGTAAGAAGCAATGGTTCAGGAAAACGAAGAGCACTTGTAGTCACAGCACCCCAGGAAGAGAGGTCAAGGGAAGTAGAAGCAAAAAATGTCAACTGGAACTGACATATAAGAGGTCGCTGGTAACCCATATAGACCAATTACCAGGTAGAAGTCTGACTGCTAAGAGCTAAAGAGTGAAAACAGCTAATCATTCTTTGAAGAAACTCGGCTTTGCAGTGAAGGACTGAAGAGAAGAGAGGTGATAGCTAGAAGGGCCCAGGGTAGACCATCAAGCTTTCCTCCTTGTAAATGAGAGGACTTAAGCATTTCTTAGGCTGACATGAAGATGTAGCACGGAAAACATTTGGAAAGGTATGTAGGGTAGAGAGTATTCATGGAATAATGAGAAGCAGCTTCAGATCTTCAGGAGAAGGTGCCAGAGACAGAGCCATTCTAAGAAGGAAGCTGGTATGGTTCCTGAAACAACAGGAAAAGGCTGAGTTTTGGTTATAAGGAAACAGCCTCACCTGTGATAATAATTGGGAGTTAGTTACAGAACACTCTCTACCTCACGAGCTGACTACTTGCTAAAGTCAGAATATTTGACTGAAAACCTACCACTTGAACTCCTCTCCCATAGAGATAGGCCATTCCAAGTCCACTCTGACCAACTGGGTTGCCCTGCAAACCAGAGACAAAAGAATGAAAGGATTCGTTAAAAATAGGCACGGATAAATGACTGCTTAAGAAATAATTTACAAGCATTTTCAAAACATGTCTTAGTACTTCTCAATTCATAACAAAATATTTTCCTTCTCATCAGACAAAATATAATACTAACTTTTAGACATTTTGGGGGCTTTCAATGATTTTCTGAAAAAGAATAAACACTAAATTCATTTTGAATTAAATGTTGGTGATTAACCTTATGACCATTTGTTGCATGAATGTTATAAATGATTAATTTCATATTTTTAAAATTAAAAGCAGGTGATTTTTGTTTTTGGTAATTTCTCATTGGTAACCTCCTATCCCAAGAAAGAAGGGAGATGCTGTGGGGTAGAGTCAACAGCCACATAATAAAAGCAACACTGGGATTAGGTAGAAAAGATATGTGTAAAATTACTGAAGTCAGACAGACTAATGATTATGAGTCATTTGAGAACAAGAAGGGAAAAAATCTAGAATTCACCTAAAATAAGAGATAGAAGGCACTTTGAAAAAAAGTGTCAAGTGTGCGCCTTTGGCAACTGATACTTGGAACTACAGCAATATCAAGTTGGCTGGCGAAGAGATAAGTGTACACACTGGATACAATATAGGTAGTTTTCTCTGGGCCACAAAAGCCTAACTTATGTAGTATGATTATCAAAAGTAGTAAATTATGTAACCTCAAGTTGCAATACAAATAGAGTAAATTATATAATTCCCAATTCTATCACTAAAATCAGTATTTCCCTGATCAGGAAACCTCGATGAACTTGAACAGAGGCTAAAAACTCAATGATCTGATCCCTAAAACAAATTTGGTTTTAATTGGAAAGACTTTCTAGTCAATCCATTTGCATGAATCATATTTAGTGTTTTCAATAATTTCAGCATGAATTGGTTATGATTATTCCTTCAGTAAACTTATTTAAAAATAATAGCAATATGGGACACTTGAGTATACCATACACTCAAATGGTCCCTAATATACTGAGGTCATGCAGCCTTACCATGTCAGCGGCTTTCTTAAAGTAGTGAAGAGCTGTCTCATTACTCTGAGGTACAATGTCACTTCCCTCTGAATACATCTGGAAAACAGGCCCCAATTTCATTAAGAGTTGTAACTTCTCTCCAATTACATTTTTCTTATTGTGGTTTTTGCTGTAACTCCTGAAATCTTTCAACACAGTTTAAAATTCCCCATATCATCTTTTTAGAATTAAAAGCAAGCCTTAGAAATAAATAACCTTATATGTCAATATATTCTATGTCATCAAACTTATGACCATACACACACATATATGTATCTATAAACATGAGTCTATAAAATCAGTTCATAGATGAATTTCTTGGGAGAAAAATCTTTAATCCCAAGGTGAATCTTTTTTCTCCCTCTATCCCAGGAAGGCCAAATGGTGGGCACAGTGATTAAATGAAGAAAAGAAGAGCTGTGAGCAATGTCGACTTTCCTTTCTCCTCCACCAGGGGGAAAAGGATAGGTCTTAGGTTCAGGACGATAAAGTTGTGAAGTACTGACTAACTAGAAGGTATGGAATATGATAAAGAGGCCTGAGAAAGGAAGAGAATGACAAATAGTTTTTTTGCTTGTTTGTTGTTTAATCTAGATACATATTAAGGAAATGACAAATTAAGAAAATAGCTTTTTGAGATAGGGATATAGCGGTAACTTAGAGCAAGAATCTAAAGGGCTGGAATGCAATTCTTAAATGCTTAAGGAAAACAGATGGAGAACACCAATTTTATTTTTAAAGATTTATTTATTTTTTTATACAAGAACTGGGGTACAGGCCAGATAGGCAGGAGGGTGAGAGGATTCACCAGAGACAAAGCGGGGAACAGAACAGGCAGACTGAAGAAATACACTGCTGAGGGGAGCAGCAAGCAAGACAGGAGAGGTCTGCTTTGCCATGTGGGATTCTCGCCAGCCAGCCGGGATCAAACCAGCGCTGCAGAGGCTGCACTCAACCACCTGCACCACCAGGGAGGCCTGAGAACACTAATTTTTATCATGTAATAGTTGGAATGTCTAAATGTAAAGTTCTCAGGCCCCAATTAACTAGTTGTGATCATGTGGCAAATATAGATTATATTTTTTCCCATGTAAAAAACATTTGATATATTCTTTTTTTTAAGCTTTATTTATTTGTTTGTTTATTTATTTATTTATACAAGCACTGGGTACAGTCAGAAGCGCGGGAGGGTGAGAGAATTCACCAAAGTCAGAGCGGGGAGCAGAGCAGGCAGAAGGACCGAAGCACACTGCTGAGGGGAGTAGCGGGCAGCAGGATAGGTCTGCGCGCCATGTGGGACCCTCCTCCAGTGGCCGGGGAGCAGCCGGGGATCAAACCGTGCTGCAGAGGCTGCGGGCAGCTTCACAACCCAGCGCTCAACCGCTGCGCCACAGGGGAGGCCCAAAACATTTGATATATTCTATTGGAGCCTCCTAACCTTAGAATCTGATGACAGATGGAAGTATACTTTATATGGTTTATATTTTATTCGGTTTCAAAATAATGCAAAATGAAGTTCTCAGATTGTACTATAACATGAAATCATTCCTTACTTGAGAAAAGAATGGTACTAAGAGGTGAGTGATAGTTATATTTAAGATAATTAAAAGGTTGACAGACAAATTCCAGCAAAGTCTAATTGCCTCTATTCAGCATGGAAGCAAACAGGCAATTATGAGAGACTTAGCAAAAGCCAGGTAACATAAAGAATAAATTCCTCATTATTATGCATGATCCACAAAAAGTAGGCCCTCAGGCAGTGACAGATAATTTCAGTGGAGGATTAACACTCTGATGCATGGATGTTATTTTTAAGTTACTGAAGAAAATGGTTCATCATAGCACTTACCTTAAAGTTCCTTGCACTGGAAATTTTTTCTCCAGTTTATTTTTGGTGAATTGTAGATCCTGAATACAATATATGCTTACTATGTAAATTACATACTACAAGCACAGGAGGTACAATACCTTTCCCAAGAAGGCCATAGCATGTGAATTGCCAGCATTAGCTGCTAAGTTGAAGTAGTCAAATGCTCGCTATGAAAAAAAGAACATATTCAAATAGTAAGTTTTTAGTAGAATATGCCTTTCATCCAAAATTATTTCAGAAACATTAAAAAAAATCTTGTTAAATTGCAGTATCTCAGTTAAATAAATGGCAATACCATCTATTAGTTGCTCAAGCCTCTGTTCACTCTCATATACAATGGATCACTAAGTCCTAAGTACGTAAGCACTATGAAACATATCTTGAATCCATCTACTGTACTCCATTACCACAACTCTAGTTTAGGCTATGTTATCTCTCATCCGCCTTCTGGAATACTCCCCGTCCTGATATCCCTCCTTTTATTTTTTGGCTTAACCGAAGCAACTGTTGGTAAATCTCAACATGCTGGTGCTTATAAGCCCTCTGAAGTGCTGCAGTGTGACCTCAACATCTTGCTCTCTGCCTGTGGGTGGACCAGCTTTGTTCCTCCTGCCCTCAAGGCCTTTGCACATGCTATTCTTTAAAAACCAGAATCTTAACCTGCAGGTTGAACTTACATGTTATTCACTTTACAGAGAAGTTGTACCTGACAACTCCACCTCCCCTTTAATGCTCCTTGGTCACAACAATCACAACCTGCCATATATTTATTGGTGTGATCATTTTTAAAAAGTCTAATGCTTCTATTAAACTTGAAACTTTAAGAACAAAGTCCAAAGTTGTTTATCTGACATTCTACCCTGAAGAGCTACCAATGAATGATACAGTAGCACCCAAATGTTTGTTGAATTAATTCAGTTGCATACTAGGAACTCCTTTCTTTCCCCATGCAGCTGGTAAAATCAATGATCTTTGTGTTGCCGCTTCACAAGTAGGCAGCATACACCACCAATATTCCAAAAGGGTGTAGAAGATATGGAGCAACGCTTATCTAGAATTGTGTTCTCTTGCTTGACATTTTTATTAACCAGTTCATCCGAAGCATCGCTGTTCTAATGACATACATTTAAGGACTTGGAGACAATGAAAGTTGTCAAATGCTATCTGAATAAATAGTAGTCAGTAGTAGTAGTAATAATAATGCATAGAGATTTGGTATAGTTTTAGTGATAATCATATTTTTTTATGATCTAATTCTTAAAGATGGGATACGGCATGTGAATAACCTTACTTAGAATATTTATCTGGAGAAGTAGAAAACCAGTTTTATTAGTCTGATAGACACTTAAAGAGAATTTACTGTGGGCTAGGAATAAAGTGGCAAACAACGCAATAATAGTCTGTGCTCCTCTGGATCTTTTGAAGTAGTAGAAAACAACTTTACATAATTAACTACTTGACAATGGATAGGGCCTCAAGAAAGACTGATTTTGCAAAATTATAGCTTTGCTACATGACTTCTTCTTAGAGTGTATAAACAAAGACTGGTACAAGTCCTTGGAGGCCATGTTAACGGTTTTGGTGTTTAGCTACTAGAAATCACAGATCACCTAAAAGTTCTAAACAAGGGAACACATGATGAGATGTGCTATTTACAGAGATAAGAAATGCAAGCAGTAAATGATTCACTTAAGTGATAAGTGTACTGACAGGAAGGGATGAGATAAGAGTTATTTAAGACACAGCAGACCGAAGTTGTGAATGGATACAGATTTGAATGCTATACTTGTTTATTCCTAATTTCTCATACTCAACATCAAATTTTCTCAGTTCTATGAAATACTTTCTAAGAGGAGTTTTTAAGACATACTTTTATGACATACCTCTAGAAAGCTAACACACTGCATATTTATTTTTGCAGTGCTGAAAATTAGGTTTTAGAATAAAACCTTTCCGAACACTATAAGGTAAAAAAAATCACATTTTTTTCTCAGTTTTCCTCAGGAGTTAACTAGATCGTGAAGGTGCATTTGTGAAGACCCAATTGTGATGACTGCCATTGACTTAGCAAGAAATACCTCTGGACACTCGTTTCTTGCTACGACATGAAGCATAAAATCCTTGGAAGAGCAATGGTACCTGGTGATTTTGTTCGACTCCACGCCCTCCGTGCAGATGCAGTTGTCCCAGACCAACCTGAAAATTAACAAAGTGAGATAAAAGTCAATGATACTACCTATCATATAATTAAATTAGTTTAACAAGAAACCATTTGGTCACAAAAGGTTTCTGTTCATAGCTCAGAAACTTAAAGATTTAGTCTTAACTCCAGAAGGTATTGATCTTACTTTACCTAACCTACATGTTTACAAAATTTTAAATGTCTGCTTTTAATTATAAGATATTCTTCCGAAAGGGCTATGAAATAAGGGTGTTCGCAGACAAACTAAAACTGAATTTGTCACCAATACCCTATTTTAAAGGAAGCAGTATTCTTTTCTTTTTTCCAATTTATCCAACTATGTTTATTAAGCTGGTTATCCTTTAGGAAGAAGGAAGATAATCCTGGGAAGCCTGGAGATACAGTAAGAAATAAAGTGCAATGGAAAGGTAAATCTAAATTCTATAGACTACATATATATTTGAATCTTGTAAGGTTCAAAAATACATAGAATTAAAACATATTTTTTCTTTATATTTTAATTTAAGTCTCCCTTCTGTTAATCTCAAAATTAAAAAGTATCTATTGATCATTTCTATATACTTTTAAATCAGCAAAAATGGTAGAAAAAGAAAGACTGATGCTGAAGTTCTTTATATTTTAATATAAAAATATCCCATGAAACAACAAATTATGGTAATTTGATGGGCATCACAAAGTTTACATTAAATAAGCCTAGTTCTGTCCCTAACCCTGTGGGAAATTACGGTCTAAGGTTAGCTAAGGAAACATGAAAGAAAATAACTCTGAGGAGCATATGAAATAACAAACATTTCCAAGACTGACTGTTTTGAGTTCAAGGCAAAGTAGTGGCATGGCACCCCTGGCTGGGGAAGTAGCCTGGCCACCTTTCAGCAGGGCTGTCCTCTGCTATCCTAAGACTGTTCTGAGAAGGTAGTAGTGGTTTTCAACTGTGGTGCACAATAGTTACCAATTTTGAGGAACTGGGCCATAGCCCAGATAAATCCAAATGCCAGTTATCTTGAGAGTGTGAGACTCTTTGTTAGCATTTTTCTTAATGTTTCTCAGGTGATTCTACTATGTAGCTAGTATTTGTTCAGAGCAATGAAAATGTTACTTAAAAATGTAAGTGCTTGCCTCCAAGACAGTAGTATAAACAACACGCACTTTAGCAGTAAGACAGCCCATGAAATGTTTAAACACGTACCTGTGCTTGTACATCACCTTTCTCAGCTAGGAACTGGTAATACTGAATCAAGTCTTCTTCCAGCATTCCACTGTTCATTCCTGGATTCTCCACCTCATCAGGCAGCCGTATTCTCTGTACTACTGAGCCTCCTGTCAGTGAGATATCACTAGCAACTGGAACAGGACAGAGTAATAACATGGAAGGAAGTCAAAAGATTGTCCCACAGAAAGAAGTATGATTGCAGCTGCCAAATGTTTGTTGGTAGACATTGTTAAAAGAAACTGTTTCTATGGCAGTCTATAGATCTAAACTAAATTCAGTTTTTATTCATAATATTTAAGTGGAGGGCCTCCCTGGTGGCGCAAGGGTTAAGATGTAACCTATGAAGCTGTCCACAGCCACTGCAGCACGAGTTCGATTCCCTGCTGGCCAGGGAGCAACCCAAGTGGCGCAGCAGACCTTTCCTGACTCGCCCACTGCTCCCCTCAGCAGTGTACTTTGGTCAATCTGCCTTTTCTGTTCCTCACTCTGTCTCTGGTGAATCCTCTCACCACCCCACACCTCTGGCCTGTACCCCAGCTCTTGTATGCATAATGAATAAATCTTTAAAAAAAAAAATTAAGTGGAAACCAAAGCAAAAAGTTTTTAAAAGTACTTCTTAATCAACTAGTGTAAAGATGATGCCACTGAAAAAAGCCATTCATAATGTTTCAAGTAGTACAATAAAACAAATATATTTAAACTTTATTTTATATATATAATATATATATTAAATATATGTATATATATATTTTTTGGGGGGGGTAAAGTGAAAGTCAAAAAATAGATACCATGATTGGCAACAAGACGATAATGAGTCAGAGCAGATTCACAGCTCTGGAGGACTCCGATGCCGGCCCAGTATCGGTAACCCTGTAAAACAACTTCAGCTGTAAAGACGGCAGTTTCACATGCTTAGTGACATTCTCATTGGAGCAAACAAAGCTAACTATATTCAGCATGTAATTTTGCTGTCTTTTGGTTCAAGTACACCATCCACCTCATTTGTCCTGAATTTTAGGTTCAGAAAAAATTTAGTCAGCAACTTCAATAATCAGACACTAGCTAAGAACTAAGAAATAATAAGGTTCCTAGAAGAATCAAAACAGATGCCACAAACTTTGTATATGAAGTGTGCATATTTTACCTATAAGAAAAAAACAGACTCATCTATAGAATAGACTTTAATCTTATTTTGGAAAGAATTTTAACAAAAACAGATTAATCTTCCATAGGCAAATAAGTAGTAACAATTTAGTAAAATAGGGAAGACAAGCGACTACTAGAATTAGATATAGTAATACCAGCAATTTATGACTTCAGAAATGAGGAGACAGGTAATTATAAAAAGCATAATAAAACAGATAGCAGAGCTCTCTGCAGTGATTAGCACAGATTTAAGTAACTTTATAAACTAACAATCTTCAGGGCATTACTGTATAATATGGAGTATAATAGCTAATGTTTTTAGTGTGTAGCCACCATTTACGAAGAATGGTAAATAATGAGAAATTCCTGTCAAAAAAAATTTCACATATTGTATGGGGAATATAAAAATAAAATTTATTTTAAAAAAAATTCACATATTTTTTCCACAGAAAAAAGTAAGTTTGATATTTTTTGAAAATTTATTGAAAAGGAACTTTTCAATCACTGTTTGGGGAATAAATGTTATGTAGATTAAACAGACAAATGAAAAAAGAACATTGAAATTAGCAAGTTGTTTTTCAGAAAGTCAGCCAACACCTTTGCTCTAAACTCCTTCGGCAGCTCGGCCCTGTGACAGGAAACTAACCAAACACCTTGGCACCAGTGCTGGCTGTGGACATGATTTGTGTCCACCTGCCTTGTGATAACTACTGGCACTTACTCTCGAGTCACAGTTTCCTGACAACACCACATTCCCACTTACTGCTGTCTCTGTGCATATACTGCTCTGGCTGTCTGCACTCCCTTCTGCTCCTTTTATTTCCTTTTTTCCTCAGAACTATATGCTTAAATTCCCCTCCTTCCAATCACAGGATGCTGAAGTCCTTCTAGGTGGCCCCTTGAATTCTTATACTGGGTTTTAGTGGTCTCCGTACTGAGTGTCATTAATCAGTGTCAGTAATGAACTTACTCATCTTGTTTTTCTAGGGACAAGTACTCAATAAAAATCTTTTGAATACATGTTGGTAAAATAACCTAAGACCCATTACATTTTCCTTTGTTAAGTCTCATATCCCATCCTTTCCAGATTTAGGACTGGTTTCTTTGTTTTTATTCTGATTTCCACTCATTTATCTTTTATATTCACTAAAACATAGTAAAGTGGTTCAGAGGTCATGTGACTTACCTAAAGTCAGTTTATAAAGGAGAAAGCAGGTTAAACATCTTACCAGACAAGAATTTAATGGAAAGGTTCTATATCTGCCACTAACCCTTTAAAGTGATCAATGCTATCAGATAAGAGATACTGTGGAATGAGCTTCAGAGAAGGTTTGTGTATAGTTAGCCCTTCATCAATTTAATCATAAAATCTTTGATAATCCAATCTAAAAAGTGATTCTGAGAAACGATTCCAACTTACAGAAGTTACAAAGAGCCATTTACTGGATCTTTATTTTAAGGGCATCAATCAAACTAATTATTGTGCAGGAAAGTTGTGGACTCTAATAATTTTCACTCATATATAGATTCAATTATTGTATCCATTAACATGGCTTTGAAGGACATCTATCAGAATATTTGGTCATAACAAATCTAAGTAAATTTCACACATGAAGGCTAAAAAAGTTGTGGCTACTTATGTAACAAAAATGCTTCTGCTACTCAATGCTGTTAGTCTTCCACTTAAGTCTTACTTACCAAAACCATGTGGGCTATTAGGTTGCCTCCAAGGGCTCCAAAAGTATAATATACAAGGGCCTGTGAAAGAACAAAAGATGCTCAAATAAACATAGACACATATTTACCCAATTCAAATTGTAGTCTGTAAGTTGTAGTGAAGTATTACCTTTGCCTGACTTGAATTAACTCCAAGTCCAGAGGCATAGAGAAAGCCAAGAGCCTGAAATAAAATGATAAAAGTTAAGAGTTGTTTCTTTGATGGAAGTTTATCCAAGCTAGACAGTTTAATGAGTTATGAAAAGATGCAGGTATCTTTAAATTCTAAAAGATCTGAATTGTTCAAAATATGCATAAATGTGCAGAGAGCCTCAGAAATGCATTGTTTTACAAATTACACAATGACATACAACTTTAAACATGTCATAAAGTTTAGCTTGAACATTAAAGACAATTTATTCAAGTATTAACTAGAGAAACAAAGCTGAGCACACTAAAACATGATTTACCTTGATGAGTGGCTACATGAGAGCAAAATGACGTCTAAATTATTATCTATATAACACCAACGTACTATCTATCTATACAAAAGGGAATGCACAATGAAAATGGATAAAAGATTACTCCTGGAATAAAAAGAGGCAGCAAGGGGTCAAGTTGAAAGGATCAAGGGAGAAAGGTGACTCACGTTAGTTTTATATAAATTCATTTATGAAAAGGAAAACAAACTTTGAAAACAAAGTGGGGGCAATTAAGATATAACCTTTCCTATTAACTAAAGCTTAGATCACCTATGAGATGTAGGCTAGTTAAGTATTCAGTCCTATAGAAAACAAAGGTCACAACTGTTGCAATTGTTTAAATAATATGAAAACTGGGCCTCCCTGATGGCGCATGGGGTTGGCCACTGCACTGTGAGGTGGTCCCCAGCCTCTGCAGCACAAACTCCATCTCTGGCTGGCCAGGGAACAACCCACATGGCGCAGCAGACCTCTCCTATCTTGCCCACTGCTCCCCTCAGTAGTGTGCTTTGGTCAGACTGCCTGTTCTGTTCCCCACTCTGTCTCTGATGAATCCTCTCACCCCCGCATCTCTGGCCTGTACCCCAACTCTTGTAAGCATAAATAAATAAATCTTTAAAAAAAAAAATAAATAAAAATAATTAATATGAAAACAGACTTCCTCAGTGGTTAGAAATTTATTTACTATTTAGGCAAGGCCCACACCTTCAATAAGCTGAATTACTGGAGGCATTTTAAATAAACATGGTGGCACCCCAAACTTAGCTGTTAAGCATGACTACTGGGGAATCAAGCAGAAATATATCGAGTGGTGCCATGCATTATGGAATGCAGATGAGTCAAAAATATCTTACCTGAATTCTGATGATATACATTTTACAATGAGGGAACAAACTAAAAGACATTTTGAAGAAGCAAAGAGCAAGCTGAGGTAGAACAATCTGCAGAAAAACTGGCCCTATTTTTAACACAGAAAAAAAAAAGGGGGAAGGGATAGAGGCTAGGCTGGAAATACAACTATATAAGGTCTAATTCTAGACTGGCTACAGGTTTAGACAAAACATGTATAACAAGCATAAGCAAGTATAACGAAAATGTTCTGGTTCAATACTTTATGAATATGGTGTGAGTATTATATGACATAAATATTTACTGTAATGGAAAGGTGAAGGTTGTTGACTAGAAAGAGCAAGCTGTGGATTGTGGATTGTGACTAGAAAGAGCAAGCAGTGATATTTCATTTTAATAAAAAATCCGTATGCGTATATACACAGAGAGAAAGGGTATGCAGGCACACATACGATGTTTACTTTCTTGTTTTTTTTTTTGTTTTTTACTTTCTCTTTTTTTTTTTAGTTTGTGTCTAGCTTCCTATAATGGACATATTGGGCTAAGATTAACAAGAGCTGGAGCACTGAAATTTTGGGGGAAAAAATGCAATGGTGAATAATTATTTTCATATTTCATTCTCTACAGATCTAATCTGGAAAACAATAAATATAATTGTGGCAAGGTGCAGCTGCAAAAATATCTTAGGTAATATCACTTAATAATGCAAAGTAATATGAGAAGATAAAAATTCTCAGACTAAGGAAAAAGATGTCCAAGAAGATTGGTAAAATGATCCACCACAAAATTAGCATTTAATGATTATTTTGCCTTCGAATCTTACTGTCAAAAGAAGTCAGGGCATGGAGAATGGATGGCTGTAGAAATAAACAAGTGGTACGTATGAGACTCTCCATTGAGAGTACACTTACAGTTTGTCCCTTGGGAGAGCCTTCCTCTGTCAGTTTCTCAAACATCTCTTTAGCTGCCTGGATATTCTGTGTCAGGTAGTCACCAAACAAAAGAGCATAGGACACTCTCTCGAGGGCCTTAGTATGGTTCATGCCTGCTGCCTTCTGAAGATACCGATATGCTCTTCAAATATAAATAATTAAAAAACAAATGAGCAATATTTTGGAAATGCCATTAAGTATTTTTTTCAAGATTACTAAAAATGCGGCATAAATAATTTTCTTATTCTATAGAATCCCTGATATATTATTTCTATTAAGTAATGTTACTTTTATTCATAGGAAACATTCTAGCTACTTTGGTTTTACATAAGATACCAGTTCTCTTTGTTGTCTGAATATCTTAGAATTGTCTAATTGCGCTAATACTAACTCTAAAATGTCTATTAAAAGAGTTAACTAGATTTGCAATGAGAGAATTTAGTAACATAATGTCTAGCAAGTAATTCGAATAATTATTAAAGATTTCTTTTTAAACCTTTGCACATATTAATAAAAATCAGCTAAGATTAAAGGGCATAAAATGTTAGAAGACAGTAATTTGTTTTACATTCTTTCCAAGTGCAGATTCTGCAATTTTAATCTTTACAAGAAAATTACAGAGCAAAAGCATGACAAGTAAAAATTCTTTTTTTAAATGTCATTTTGAATTCTGAATGAAACATGTATTCTAAGTTCTTAGAAACTATCATAATTTCGTCAATTATTTCCATTTTGTTCATTGTCCATTCTTGTGATCAGTACTTGTAGCTTTTTTATCCCTATAGGCTCAAATCTGATCAAAGCCCACAAAATGTCTACATCACTTCATATTAAGTTTTCTTGTAACTTAAGAAATCCTAGATTTCACAGCACATTTGGAAAAAGTCTTTCGCTATTTATCTCAGAAATGACCTCTCTTGGGGGAAGAATGGTCCTGGCAGTGCCACCTACTCTCTTTTTTGGCTTTTCTTATTGCTTCCATTGAGGATTTTCATGCCAGTCTGGAACATCATTTCTGCTTCCTGCATTTGCCGTCTTTTTGCAGCCTCTTCTTCAGCTAAAACCAAAATATCAGATACATTTAAGTGTGTTTTAATTCCACACCAATTATTTATCAAACATCAGTATGTATACTTTCTTTTCGTTAGTCATCTAAACATAATTAATGATCTTTCACTATTTCCAAATCTGATCCTAAAGACCCATGATTTAATTGTAGTTTTTATCTGACAAAAGCTAACACTTAAAAAAAAAAAAAAAGACATTAAAATAATTTTCTTTTAGAAGAAGCAATATCAAGGGTACTTTTGAGCTAGTAATTCTAAAACTTTTTATATAATTCTAGCAAAATTTCTGAGGGAGCTTTTGACTATATGCTAAGGTCAATTAAAATCAGAAGGACATTATAAAGTAACAGTCAGAAAAAACAGTGTTGTAGCCAAAGAACACGAGAGCTGCATTTGAAATGCTATAGATTTCTGTAAGGAGGCAATATTTGATTAACTATACACAAATTAGTAAAAAAAAAAAAAATTATTAAATAGAGATTTAATATTCAAATTCTCTACTTTTTTCCCTCTATGCATTGACATTATATTAGAGATCATACAATTACTATAGGTTTCTCAAGCAGTATTTTGGTACTATAATATAGCATTTTATCAGAAATCTAGAACTCAAAAGGTTTTTGAATGTTTTGTTAGGACTCACAGAAGTGAGTCTTTTTGTAATATAAAAACAAAGTCTGATTACTAAAGTGGAGTACATTCAAAATGGACTATATTTGTTGTTATTTCCTAGGAATACCCTAATATTCTATCAAAGACATTCTAAAAAAAGTATTTGGTATGCTCAAGGAGGAGGTATAGTCAAGATTTTCTGTTGTTCTTTTATAGCTAGAAAGTTTTTCCTGAAAACATAAATTGCCTCTTGAGGTCTGCCCCATTATACTAACATTAACATTTGGAGCTGCTAAGTATATTATATTGGCCAAATGTTACATTACCATAGCATATTTCACTCAGTGTTTTAATAAAGTACCATTTTTCTTCTAGCCACTATTAATTTTCACTATACTGTTCTGTTTCTTTGATTGCCAATGTTTTAATTAATTTAGCAGCCTGCCTGAGGGTTTACAGAACAATCTGTGCATACCAATGGAAAACCATCTCTAAATGAGGCATGAATGTGTAAGCTGCCTGAGTCACAGCCTGAAATTAAGTAAGTAAATGCCATGCTTCCTGCTCTTAATAAGTGCATTCATTAAAACCATAACCAGTTTTCAACATTCACCATTTCTGACCTCGGTGGGAAAAGAATGGCCAGAAAAAGGTTTTAAAAATTATGCCCCAGACAGAAAGCAATGACGACAGGCCCCCACTGACCTATACTTACTTTCGCAAAAGCCCCACTTTTCATCTGCCTTGTAGTCATAGGTTGTAGCACACCACAGTCTGCCATCTTCTCGCCCATCGGATGTACATTCATCATATTCCTTATCCAGGAAGAGAAAAGGGAAGTGGCAAGGCTCCCCATGTGCTGTGCCTTCAATGGCGGTCAAAGCTTGAAAGATTAAAAAAAAAAATCTAAACACGAGCAGCTGTAGTTAGTATTTATGGATATAACACTATCAATATCAACTATTAAACTGTGAAGATGAAGATTAAATAATTTTCAATGGGGAATATAAAAGGGCTAGGAATGATTTTTTGAAGGCTGATTTGAGGATGAATCAACATGGCAAGACTGGCCACCATCTGTAACTAGGTAAGAATTTCTAAGAGTCTTGAGATATAATAACTTTATAATGTTAAGTCTACTGTAAAACTCCTGCCTGGCTAGTGAGTAAAAAATGAGGCAAATGCATCTGAATCAGTTTCATTGCTCAGCACTACTTTTTCCTATTTAATTGATGAAAGTCAATTTCCTTAATAAAATACAGGGAAAAGTTATATAGCACTTTTCCCCCAGGAAAAGTTAATCACTCACTTGCTCCTCTGCGATCCTACAGCACAACAGCTTACTTATCAAACATACTAAGGTCTTTTCTTCACCATCCTCTAGCTCCCACTAGACTTTGAGCTTGTTAAGGGTAGAGAACTTATCTTTAATTTTTCTTCGTTTCAAGTATCTCTTCAGGGCTAAAATTATGCCAGATACTGGAAGTGAGATGGAATGGTGGTCTTTGATATACAGAAATCACTGCCTTATGTGTTAAGAGTTAAACAAAAGTATGATCCATGCTATGGAAAGTATCCCCTGTAAGAAACTGAGATTCAAACTAAACCTTGAGCATATGCAGAAAGAGGAGTGGATGAAAGGTTGCAGGGTGGGGTGGGGAGAAGTATTTGTGTAAAGAATCAAATAAAAGAATATGGCACAATAAAGAAAATTAAAAAGGAGTTCAGCAAAGCAGAACATGCAGCACTAATGATAAAGTGGAAAAGAGGATAAAGAAGCACAAAGAATCCAGACTAGGGAGGTCTTGCCACATGTCATTAGAGTTTGGACTTTATCCTGAGAATAATGGAAACTCACTTAAGAGTTTTAAGCCGAAGCTAAACTTACATTTTAGTGAGAATGGACAATGGAATGGAAGGAAGCAGTCAGGATGTCAGGTGACTAGTTTAAAAGTTGTGATGGTAGTCTATTTAAGAGGTAGCGATGGCCTGGAGGGAACAATGGTGTGCAAGAAGTAGATGTACTCAAGTGCTGCTAAGAAAGTAGGTATGATACTACTTACTGACTGACTAGATGTGCAGATGAGAGAAGAGTCAAGAAAGTTTCCAAGGTATTAGGCTTCTGTAAATGAGTAGATGGCTGCCCTTACTAAGAAAGAGGAGTAGATTTCTGGGTAGGGATGAAACAGATCAGGAGAGAGACAAATTAAGCTTTGATCCTGCTACAAAGTAGCTATTAAAAACAAAACATCTCTTTAGTTATAGCCAAAGAGAAATTTCTCCAGTTTACTGATATACTTGAAGCCAAGAAGTACAAGCAAGAATGAGTAAGAAGTACATTAGAGGCCCACAGGCCCAGGGCTGAACCTAGAACCATTCATGGTTTCAGTGTGAATACATGTTCATGTGCACTGGTTGCTTTAGAGCTTAACAGGTTCTGGAATCAGAACATCTGATTCAAATCCACCAGTTCCTGTTGCTTAGAATTATTCACAAATTGAACCGAAATAACACATATAATTGCTATGTAAGGAAATAAAGAATTCAAGAGATGGGAAATGCTATTACTATTAATGGCACGCCTGCTCTGAAAGGCTAATAAGTATATGCTCCTTTCCAGTGCAAAAAAGAATACACCCTAAGATATCCTATTTCCTAAGAACATTTTCCTAAAAATATTTTCAGTAGGTTTACTACTAGGTAAACATCATTCATTACCTTGGTCAATACTGAACAGAGGCAAATATCTGTCCATGTTTTTAAAAAATGACCTTTAATGCACTGTACCAGCAAAGCAACTTTTAGCAACAACCTCAGAGGGGTCATTTTGACAAGGATTTGAAAGAGGCACTCCTATCATTGCTACTACATACAAACTGGCTTTAGAGATAAATTATCTGTAAATTAATAATACATTATCTGCCGTGTGTAAACTTGAATTTCAAATTAAATAATATACAATGGTTTAAAAGAATCAGTATTTCCTATCATAGAGATTTTTATTTATAAAACAAAGCTTATCATTAAGAATTTTAATTTGCTGAAACAAACTTTGTAAGTGGTTCAAATTTATGAATGAATTCTCTTTCATGAGCTGGAACCATGCAGAAGAAAAATTAGAATGAATCACAAGGTTTTTGAAAACAAAAACCTGATTGAGCACTAACTTAAGCAGAAAGAACCCGTTTTCATTAAGCTAGTGAAAACTGAATTTTGATCAGTTTTCCAGTTATTATTAAGTAACTAGAAAAACCTCTATCAATTATTTTTCCCAAGCAAAATCACAATATGGAAACTGCTACTGCCTTTTAAACTTGTTTTAAAGTCTTCCAAAAGTTACTGACTGGGACTTTCTAGTTTAAAGGCAATTATCTCAAGTAAAAATTCCTCACAATAGTGTTAACTTCAGTTAATCTTTTTCCCATGGAGAAATTCTACAAGAATTTCAAAGATATCATTTGAAAAAAGTCAGTCACAAAACCAATCACCAGTTTTAAAGCAATGGTAATCATGGCTCTGGCATAATAAAGCTGATTTGATTATGCAATATAAGTTAATGATAACCAGGAATCAAACCTGACATTTAAATGAAAGGGGAAATAAATCAACTGTGCAACTATATGTAAAAACTCCCATTTCCTGGATAAGGAATACTATTTTGACTACACAATAACAACACAGGATTATAATCTATTTACACCTTGAGAGTAAGATATTTAACTTATGGTATATAAGAGTGTAAAATAATGAATCGCCTGCTTTATATTTAATCTAGTAGAAAATTGCTCTTGCAAAGTTCATTTAAATCATTCAAGAAAACTAGAAAAGATAAACAAAACAACAGGAACAAGCCCAAGTCTGAAATCATTCAGTGCTGGCCAGAGTACTAGTAAATAGGGATCGATGGGAAGAAGATATATTAGTAAAACGTCTTAAAGGAGGTCATTTAAGTAATATCTACTAGAATTCGAAAGATCCTATCATTAGATCCCATTTTTTTCACTTGTAGGATACTTACAGAAATGATATATACGAGAGAGTATCTACACAGATTATAATATTAAAAACTTGGAACCAAAAAAATCAAAGGTCTATTAATAGGAAACTGGCTTTATCAACTCTGGTGAATTCATAATAGGGAAAGTCCAGGCATCAACATGGCTGGAATCAAAGGTCACGAGACAGTAATGTAGACAGAGCACAGGAGCAAAGGTTGAGTTCTGGTGCAAGCTTCTGTTTCAGTATCAGGCAGATTCTAAGGAACCAGCAGCCAAGTGAAGAAAACATTTATGTAAAATGGAAACAGTACTGGTGAGGGGTTAGAAAGATGAGGACCAAGAACTGAGCAGGTATCCAGCAATTAGAATGTGAATGGAGCAGAGTATTTAGAGTTAGAGGAGGTGGGGCCTCTATGGAGCTGGATTAGAGAATTGATAAGAAGTGAAAAGTGAATGAATACAGCCAACTCTTCCCAAGAATAAAGGAAGAGAGACATGGTTGGTTGCTGGAGACTGATTTGAGGCGGGGAGGCTTTAGTTCTTAAAATGTAAGATATTATAACATGTTTGAACAGTGATGAAAAGAATGGAAGACAGAAAAATGTAAAAGGGACTAGAAATTGCTTTAGGCTGAATGAGATACCCTGGGAAGACAAACACTCACACTTCCCCATCATTTTTAATAAGAAAACCAAAACAAGACCAAAAAAGTTAACTGCCTGAAAAGTTATCACCTCAAGAAAACCAGAGACTAATGAGACTAATATTTAAATGAACGGATTTTGAGTAAAGGAGATTACTCTCCATAATATAGGTGGGCCTCATCTAATCATCTGAAGATCTTAGTAGAACAAAGATTGACACCCCCTCTCCTCCCAAGAGCAAGAGGAATTCTCCTGCCACACAGCCTTTGGTTCTGTTTCTCTAGAGAATTCTAACAAATACAGATTGTACTAAGTGAATGATTTACAATGTGATATTTTCTTTTTTTTTTTTTAATAGAGGCATGTTTTATTTATTTATTTGTTTGTTTGTTTGTTTTGTTTATACATGCACTGGGTACAGTCAGAAGCGCGGGAGGGTGAGAGAATTCACCAGAGCCAGAGCGGGGAGCAGAGCAGGCAGAAGGACCGAAGTACACTGCTGAGGGGAGCAGCGGGCGGCAGGAGAGGTCTGCGGGCCATGTGGGACCCTCCTCTGGTGGCTGGGGAGCAACCGGGGATCGAACTGGCGCCGCAGAGGCTGCGGGCAGCTTCGCAACCCAGCGCTCAACCGCTGCGCCACCGGGGAGGCCCAATGTGATATTTTCACTTAGCATTGACATTCTTCTAGGTGGCAATTGGCTTACTATTCATTCTTATCCTCTTCCCTTTCTCTAGAGCTAGGGGTGACCAAATGATAGTTTTAGTAATTCTACTAGTGACTTCTGGGGAGACTCCTGCTCTTCTGGTGCAGGCACCACTGTTTCCTGAAGACCTAGGACCTGGGTTGCAATCACTAACAGGTTTGACCACATGGAACAAAACATGAGGATAAAGTCAATTTACTAAAGAGGCTGAACAGAAGAGAAGTCAGCACCCTTGATGGTTCAAACCCTGAATTGCCTAATCATGGAGATCAGGTTATGTGAACATTTACTTCTGGCACTGTTTGATGGATTTTCTGTTATTTGCAGCAAAACATGCTCCTTTTAAAACGACTGAGTAGGGCCTCCCCGGTGGCGCAGCATATTGAGAGCAATGCTGTGAAGCTGTCCACAGCCTCTGCAGCGAGGGCTCGATTCCTGGCCAACCAGGGAGCAACCCACATGAAGAAGCAGACCTCTCCTATCTCACCCACTGCTCCCCTCAGCAGTGTACTTTGGTCAATCTGACTGTTCTGCTCC